ACACCGCATATGATGATGCCATGTACCACCTCCGTGGAGACGGTTCCTATGTCAGATATGGGAGAACCAAACTCGGTTTGTATGGTACCGACATTGACGATCTCGAGAAGCAAATCATGAAACTCCTACGAGAAACAGAACTTACCAGCCGTTCTAAATCAGATGGTCCAGACCTCGAAGAAATATAGAAGGCTTCACCAAGAAGCAAGTGAAGGGAGCTTTCCAAGCGAGAGAGCTCTATGCAATCTCCAGCGACCGCCTTTGAAGACTTCTAAGAATATGATCCGAGCCGGACAGTTCCGAGATTGCCCTGTGATGTTGGAGAATATTAACAATGCCGAGTGATTTTGGCAAGGACATGGCTCAAGATCAAAGGCTCCTACTACCCGGAAACGTCCCCGCCAGCTACCGAGAGTGTACATGCTGTTCCTGAGGATGTTGGTGGCTCATCAACGTAATGGATTAACAGGTGCCATGGATGTTGAATATTTGTGGTCTCAACTTTCTCTCCTTATCGACTTGAAGGTTCGTACAGGCAGATCGTTCGATGAAAGACTTGACACGGATTCATATTATGAGGCCCTGGATCAGATCATGGACACAGTATAACGGGAACAAGTTCTACATCGGGACTACCAGTGTACAATGCGTTTAAGCCGTTGATGGACCCAGTCAAAAATGATATGGGTGTCAAACTCGATCATCCGGCAGCACAGGTGCATGCCCCCGTCCGCCGAGCGGAACAACAGAACCATCGAAGACCGTTTCCGACGCAGGTTTCCTCATGCAGTCCTTTCCAATCATGCCGAAGATTATGGTGGTAGCATCTGGTTTCGATTGCATGAAAATTGAATCTCTTCCCAGCAGCCGGAAGGAATCTCCCGTGTCTACCCCACGCGGCAGATTTTGACTGGAAAGACCACAGGTTACAATGACGTCATGTATACGTTTGGCCAGTTTCTGCATGGGTCACCACGATTCCCCTGCACTCGCAAGAAGAAGCGCCGAGCCCCGTGGGTTGGAGTGCATCTATCTGCGTCAATCCTGGACAACAGCAGGGTGGCCATTATTTGTTGGACTTGCACACCTGGAGGTGAAGACACGCCAGTACGTTGACATCCTCCCGATGCCCAAGCTTGTGATTGAGCGTGTGGAGAAGAAAGCCTACAGTGAAGGCATGAAGCCGCTACAGACCCACAACCGTAAGAAGGTGGAGTTTTTGCCTGTCGGTTTGCCGCAGGAGTGGCGGGAAATCAAGGCAGAAAGTTACATGCAACATTTTGCAGTTGACGAGAAGATGACGATGAAGAACCAATCGCGCCAGTTCCAGATTGGTTTGACAAACACCGTCGTATAGCGACGATGAAGATGATGGATCGGTTCCAGGTTTGGTACCGAGACCCCAATACGATAGCAGCGATGAAGAAGACAGTGATGACGAAGATGACGAGGGTGACATTGTGATCGAAAGTCCAAAAGGAGTTCCAGGCAATCGACAGAACAAGCAAGCAATCGGCCAAGTATTGTAGACCCAACTGATGGACCATTCGAAGGCCCAGCCAAAGCAAGCAAGCTGACAAGAGTTGAGTCCGCAGGTCTGCCAGGATCGCAGCCAAACAAGGAACCACGAAGGGAGTCACTTTCGCCACAGGAGTGTACCAAGACCGAAGATCAGGAACCGAAGAAGAAGCCGCTTCTGTATGAGACAATGCGGCAAAGACAATGGCACAGTTCATTCATGAAATCAACCACGGAAGGATCAAAGATGATCCGTGGAAGGAGCAAGTCACGCGCAGCAGCACTTGTTGCCCAAGGGATTGAAATCTGGGGCACAGAGCCAAGAAAGCAGCGCGAAAAGAGTGGATCAGTCACAGCCTGTGGCGTTCGCACCAGTTCGACCAGAAGAGTGTAGCGAAACAGAGCTAAGAAGTCGCAGGTGACGCTTATGTTTTGTACGGAGAAAAGAGACGGGACCGTCAAGGCCCGAGCCGTTTTCAACGGGAAACCGACCAGAGTTTATCGGACAAGGATGAGACTCGAAGCCCTACAGTGTCGTTGGAAGGTCTGATGCTTTCCATGTGTGTTGACGCTAGTGAAGGGCGTGATGTTATGACTCTGGATGTACCAATGCTTTATCCAGACACATTGCCGCAACCCAAGGATGGTGGTGACAGGGTGATCATGAAGATCGAAGGTACTCTCGCGAGCTACTTGTGGAAATCACCCTGACACTTACAAGCCGTTCCTTGTCTATGAGAAGGGGAGACCTATCCTCTACGTTGTGGTATTGAAGGCACTCTATGGAATGCTCATTGCGTCTACTTTGGTACAAGGCATTCCGCAAGGATTTGGAGTCTATTGGTTTCGAATTCAACCCCTACGTCCTTGTGTTGCCAACAGGATGGTCAATGGCAAGGCAACAGACTATCCGTTTCCATGTCGACGATCTCATGTCCAGTCATATGATGGCCAAGGTGAATGACGACTTCCTGGCCTGGTGCAACGAGAAGTATGGTACCTACGGTGCTGTCAAGCAACCAGAGGACCCAAGCATGACTATCTAGGGATGACGATTGATTTTTCTGAGCCGGGCAAAGTCAAGATTGACATGATCGATTATTTGACCAAGGTGCTCGAGGAGTTCCCTGTAAACTTTGAACATGTCCGTTCTGTCCGAGTGCAGCCCCAGCTGATTTTGTTTTCTGTGGGTGACGGTGACATCTGGACCCTGATACGAAGGATACCTTCCACACGAACACAGCCAAGCACTCTTTGCCTGTAAGCGTGCACGTCCAGATATGCAAACCCTGACTACCGTCCTTTGTACTCGAGTGAACAACCGAACCAGAACGATTGGGGCAAAACTTCTCCAAGGCCTCAAGTTTATTATCAGACTTTGAACGACAAGCTCATCCTCCATGCTGACGACGTTCGCATTATTCGCTGGTGGGTGGATGCCAGTTTTGCTGTACACCCAGACTACCGTTCCCATACCGAGGAGTGCTCAGTTTCGGTCCGCGGTGCCCAATTGCTGTGTCTAGCAAACAGAACTCAACGCCCGAAGCAGTACCGACGCCGAACTCATTGGAGCCGACGATGTTATGAGCCCTTTGTTGTGGACCAAGTTGTTTTTGGAAGCCAAGGTGTCGATGTCCAGGAGAACATCCTTTACCAAGACAACAAGAGTGCTATCATCTCGCTGAGAATGGTAAGAGAGCGCCGGTAAGCGTACTCGTGCTCTGAATGTGCGTTTCTTCTTTATTCACGACCAAGTGAACAAGGAAATGTACGAGTGGTGTATTGTCCACACAGGACATGCACGGGGACTTTCTCACGAAGCCCCTCCAAGGTGCCCTATTCCATGCGCATCGCGCTTTATATGGGGCATCCTCCTATTTAGTTTAGTTTTAATCGTTCCGTGGATCATTAGGGACCACGGCAGGAGTGTGTTGGCCGGTCTAGATATTTAGCGGACCCGGATAAGAAAAAGACCGCACCGACGTAGAATTTTAAGGAAACTGGCATTCTCAGATCCAGATTTCAGAGCAACCTGGCAGAAAGATCATTCTTTCTGCTCAGCTCGCCCAAATCAACAAATTAACTTGATATTAGCCAGTAGCTACAGTGTTGCCTACCCAACAGCTACCCTTTACTACTTTAGTAGAGTCAGTAGCATCAAAGTACCTTTTCAATCCGCCAACATGTCTTTCTTAAACAAAAGGCCTCCGGTGGCGCCAACCACGGAAATTGACGTGAGGCTGTCAGCTGCTTGGCCAACTGGCATGGGTTTGCTTCACTAGTGGATACATCTACCCCTTGAGCAAGCCAGTGATACCGGTATGGAACCCTAGCAGCACTGCTCCCAGCTAGAGCTATCTGGACTTCAGCCAGTTAGCATTAGCTAGCTACCCACCAAGCAACTCTCCCAGCTAGTGGTGTGACTCCCTAGCAGTTCTCCCAGCTCATTCCCAGCCAGTGATACCATAGCCATAGCAGTTCTCCCAAACTAGCTCCATCCCCAGTTCCCAGCCCTGGCCATTCTCTCAGATCTTCTCCAACTTCCATCATAATATCATAATACCCAGAGTTCCAGTCCAGGTACCATGGCTCTGCTAAACTACCGGAACCGTACCCGGAACCGTACCCGGTACCCAAAGCTAAAGCTACTAGCTAGTACCAGACCCGGAACCGGAACCGTCTTGTGCGAAGCTAAACTACTATACCTGGACCCGGAACCGTACCTCACCACACTGAAGCCGCTGCAGCTCACCATGCTAAAGCCACTGGTACCGTACCATACTGAAGGCTCAAACCTGAACCCTAAAAACGTTACGACGACAGACGAAAAACTAAAATTATAACCTAGCCAACTTCGTGGTTGGCGAAATTCCACTTGCTAGCTAGCCAGACTAGACCTACCAGAACAGGTTGCTGATCCTCTCGTTCAAGGGTGCCTTCGGGAACCAGGGGAAAGAGGAAAATTATTATTGCAGCTCTGACAGCTTTCTGAAAGGCCCACGCCGCAAAAGCTCCTGCATCAGCACCTCCAGGTAAAACAGAGGTAATTGAAAAAACTCTTTTGGAAAAAAGAAAATCACTCTTTTAAGTTGAGTCCCACTCAGACAGCTGTCTTAAAGCATAAGACAATAACTCTGTCTTAAGACGGCCGTCTTAAACTTAAGACGATGACCGTCTTAAAGAAGTCATTGTCTTATGCTTAAGACGATGTCTTTTTTGTGTCAGGAGGATGGAGTAGTTTTATAATTTAATGACTAAACAATCTCCACATCCCCCTGAATGTTTCAGACGCCGTCTTATGTATAAGACAATGACCATCTTAAGACAATGACTGTCTTATGTTTAAGACGGTCTTATACTCTATAAGACAGCCGTCTTAAGACAGAGTCATCGTCTGATCCTTTAAGACAGCTGGTTATCTTGTAAATTTTAACAAAACTGTATAGCTTTTTTCCAAGAATCAATCCTTTTACCCCAAGGTGCAGGCATCAGGCATCACGCACAGTACAACACTTCAAATTTCGTTCCTGCATCGTGCCCTCCCCTCGAGCTCTGCCCCCATCCTCATCTTAGCTCTCTCTAATCCATAGTACCCCTTTTCATTCAAAGAAGGAATCTGATGAAGACTCGGCGCAGCACGAAGAAGGGGGGAGGGCGAAAGGACAAACAGAGGAAAGGCACAACACCACCTGATCCACTTCCAGGATCAACTAAGGTGGCGACAGCAGCTCCTCCAAAGGAAACTTTTCCGCGATGCCTACATGGAAGATCCACCACCACACCACCTGATGTCTTTGCCAAGCAGCAACAGTTTTTGAATGAACTTCCAAAGGCTATACTGGAAGATCCAATGGAGCTTGTTGATATTATTGAAAAGAAAATTTGGAAACATCCTGAGGCTGCATCTCATCCAGACACGGTGTCATTGGCTATTTCTCTTGCAACGGACTGCCTCATAGGTACCAGGGTAAAGCCGGGAAAGGCTCGTATTCACACTTTTGCTGCCATACATCTGGCGCACGCTCAAAACTCCGGTTGTAGACTTGAGGAAAGCTGGTATGATTCAGGGGATGAGTGGGCATATTCGAAATACAAAGGTCAACTTCAGGCAGCATATTATAGGCAAGGACACTACCAAAAAGACGCCATTCGATTCATGGCAAAAAGAATTCCCTGCCAGTGCCTCAATCCATACAAGAAGTTTTTGAAGAAGATATCTGATATGGGATCGTGTGACAACTGTGGAGAAACCTTCGACCGCAAACGATTGCGTTGCTGCTCCCTTTGCCGGGTTTTTCAGTACTGCAGCCGAGAGTGTCAGGTATCCAACTGGAAGGAACATGAATTCAATTGCAAGCTCTATCGAGGAGAGGAAAAGTTTCGGCGCAAAAAGGAAGCTTCACCCAACCTGTGCTTCCATGGAGGCACTACTGTCCTTGGCGATGAATGTATGAAAGAGGTTTGCCAGCTGTACAAAGATCTATTGGTTATAGATGGGGCCTACGACACAATGACAAAGGTGGAAGAATTATATTGTACAAAGAAGCATGTGATGGAAAATGCGACCACAATTCCATATGGACTCCAGTTGGCCACCACCGCTGTGCTGCGATTGAATGCAGATGAGGACAGCTTGATATGTGCTAAGTGTGTTCTACAAGTGACCTCACACATGACCAATGGAAGTCTTGCTGGCAAAAAGACTGATGATTCCAGGGAGAATGAACTTCTTATCTCTACAACCTTTTGCCGCATTTACCACAGGAAATTCAGCTCCAAGCGGGATATGATCTTGGCGCTGGACAGGAGGATTCCTTGTGACTGTTTGAATCCAATTATACAAAGAATTTTGAAGGAGCCTGAAACAAAGGTGTGCTTTGGCTGCCAAAAAGAGATGGAGGAAATCTACACATGTGACCGATGCATGTACGCTCCATATTGTTCCCGAACATGCCAAGAAGCTGATTGGCCCAAGCATGAGATGGAGTGCAACGTGCATTGTGGAAAGATGACTTGCGCTGAGGCTCACATTGCGGAACAACATGCAAAAGGAGAATTGGCAGAGATGGAGGAGCTAGACTAGCTAGCCAGCATAGATTGGATTGGGCTAGCAATCGTTGTGTTGTGGTTGTGAGTGTCTGGAGCTTGCCAATCTATGCCCTTGTCACCAGTTTGTGTTGGTTCACGTCGGCGACTCTTCGCGCGAATGATAGGCATGGCAACTTCTGAGGCCGTAATAACTAACTAGCTAGCTACAGTAACCCGTGCCGATAGCTAGCTACCGGTAGCTGGAGTTAGAATAAACGATGGACCATCCCATCGGTGGTACTGGCTTGCGAGCACTAGAGAAAGTTGCCGTCTTCATCGTCATACCTTGGTGGTACGGGCGTACACCCCGGTGAATTCCATCTGATCCAGTGGTTATTGCTTGCTGGCTAGCTAGAAGGATCAAAGCTGGGTGGTATTGAGCGTGAACTGTTCATTTAATGTTACAGAATGTGTATCTATGTTTGAAGCTGGAGACTAGTAGCTAGTAGCTGAAGGAAGTTCGTTTGCAAGGCTGCGGATGGTCAATCTATCTGCCGGAAACGGGTTGTCTGTTTTCTTCGCACATCCAAGGCATTTTGCTGAGGTAATAGTGGACACATCGTGGGTCGTTGTTGACTGCGGCAAAGGATTCGACCCATTGTTCGGGAGAGATTTCATGCAGGTTTTCCATGAGGTATCCTCGTTGGTTTTGGTTGAGGCAGAGGAATGTGTCGATTTGACTGTGCATGGCGGCATCCTTGTCGTGTGTACCCGTCGACCGGTTCTCTCGGAGGAATTGGATCTGCATTCCAAAGTTGTTTTGCAATAATTCAGCAAAGGCAGTAATGGCAGTGTTCTTGAATTGGTACGTCGGAGGCATGTAGACCTCAACTTCCAACGGCGCCTTGTCGTCGTCTTTGCTGGTGGGGACTTGGGCAAAGAACTGTGCCAGGTAGACAAAGAATTCATCGAAATGGCTGTGTTGTTCCATGCCTTCCATATCCAGAACAATCTTGTGGATTCCAGAAGCCGAGTTGAGTTCGACAGCCAATGCCAATAGCATTAGGTATTGCAATGGGTATGTCCCGTGGACGGATTCTTGGAACATGCTCATCTCAATGGTGCCGTTTTCCACGACGAGGGCTGCAAAGGTTTCTCCATCCATACCGGGCTCAATTTCCAGAGTGAGTGACAACTTGTGGCTGCAAGAGAGGATCCCTGTGAACGCCTTTCGCTGTGCTCCCTCCAAGAACCAGTGGATATCCCCGTTGACTGCCTGGATATTGGGTAGCTGAGCCACTGTATTGAACAATGCTTCGACTCCATCTCGTGACAGTTGATCCGTGCAGACAATATCGGAAAACTTGGTGAAGCGAAAGGATTTGAGTTGGATCAAACCTTGCAGGGAGCAACTAAAGTCGTTCAGCTCATTGGAGGAACCACACAGGGTAATTCCACTCAGTTCGAGTTGTTCCAATCGGTTTCCCAAGAGGTGCAGCAGGGGAGCAACGACGGAAATGGGCAAGATACCCTCGCGTCCGGAATCGTAGATCTTGAGGTGGATAAGACTGCTAATGCTACCAATGGCCTTGAAGAACATGCAGAGCTCGGCAGAGGGGGTAGCATCCATGTATTCAAAGTCGTCCAAGCAGAGTGTGATGCTCTTGACATCCCAATCCGAGCAATCAATGGCCTCCAGTGCGTGGGCCAACTGGACAAAGTCAAAGGAAGGCTCATCGCTGATGCGCAATAGAAGCATGTTGGGTTTTGCCATCTTGATTGATTTTTTTGGTATTAGTTAGAGTGGATGGATGTGTTGCGAATGGATGGATGATGTTTCTTTTTTGTGTTGCCAATTTGTGAGCTAGTTTTACTTCGGAGTTTCCTCCCCGCTGCCAGCTTCAAAACAAAGGTCCCACGAATTCTCCATACAAGTTTACGCGATGAGGTTGCAAAGCTCACTTGGTGCTTGGTGGCGGCACCACACGGAAAAACACAGCCATCTTGCCAGTACTACTTTACCTGGCGCTTGCGCTAACCATCGATTGAACTCGGTTGAAGTGGACCAACCAGTTAACACTCCATCATCTGTCGCCTGCTCTTTACAGTTGTACCAGTACTAAGTTCTAGTAGTATAGCTAACTCAGTACATAGTAAGTACTGAGAACCAGTGAGCGCTAGTCTTACCTGAACTGATGAAGAGCCACTGCTGAAGGAAACAGTACCAGAGTAATCATGTTGAGTTTTTTTAAAGTACACTGTAACAATTACTGCATCGTCTCTTTCATACGATCAACAGTGGCGAGATCTGGTACAGTACCGGTACTGCTAACCCGGGAGTACTAATATTTTTAGTGGAATATGTAATACACCTACCGCATCAATAAGATAACAGGATTACATGTAGTCGAGTACTCGAACGGGGTATCTCAAAGGATTCAATTCAGCACACTCAAAAATTGTCTTATGAGCAGCCCAATCTCAGTACATGTATCTTCAATATCTTATAGCCACTAGCAGCAATTGTCACATACAATTAATCATCCACCAAAGCTCAAGAAGGCAAAGGTGCAAAGCTAAATTTGATGAAACCAAAGATGTTGTGGTAGAGGAGGCACACCAAGATGGGCATATGGAGTACTTGGATGTAGGTGATGTGGAAGATTGTGGGTACTAGCTTCACTCACTCCCCACATAGAAGTAGTATTAGCTTAGTAAAGGATTGAGACGTTAGTATCTTAATGGTTTGGGAAATCTGAGTGTCTAGGTTATCATATTAACAATAATTTTCTTTAAAGTACAGTACTCAGTATCTTATAAAACCCACTTATCTAAAGTAAGAGTGAGGAGTGTAGTATCTTAAACTTGGGAATGGGAGTTAGGAGTACAAGTTGTAATACTGTTGGGTTACTGTTGCCAGTTGCCACACGCCCACCCTACACGCTAAATTCAGGCACACAATTTTTATTAATTAATTATTGTGCTTATAATTAATTATTATTATGTCCAAGGCTAACTGGGAGCAAGCGAGACGCTGGACTGAGCAGGTAACGATCAACAGTTTTCTCAGCCTTCGCAGAGCACTCAACACTAAGTGGAGGAACGTTCTGTGCTTCTACTTTTGACGGCAGACTGTACTCCAGTAGTAAAAACGACTATAACACCGGCTAAAGTTCACGAGTCTGACAAATCCACACTGGTCGACGACTTGCGACGATTGCAGGCCCACCGGTTTCGGGCCAGAGGCTACCGGTATTATTTCAGCCTTTTTTCTATCCCACTGTCAACCAGTCTTTACATCCCTAGCCCTAAGCAATTTCTGGCGGGGACTAAAGATCTGCAAGGGTGCACGGACGCGACGTCCTCTCACCACAACAAACCACGAAAAATCAAACGGAGCGCAGTGGATCCAACAAAGAGAGCTTGTAGGCAAGGACATGAAGCTCTAACCCAAAGATCTTTCCAATCGGACCCGAGAGGAACGAAAATGCTGCTTGCTGGCCAAGACTTTGAAACACCCCACGGTCAAAATGCGGATTGAAGCACCTCGGGCGGGATGACAAGCGACGCGCTCTTGTCCGAGTTTGCATTTGTTGCTCCTTCTCCTTTGATCTGATCAATCCATCCCTCAAGGCATACATTAACTGATTAACTAAGCACGACCATTCCTTTCCGCAGAAGGTGAGAGTACTAGTAGTTCACCAAGGCACTTGCCTCTGGAGCTGAAAGTGTATCCACCCTATTACAATGAAGCAAGTGAAGAGTACGGTACCTGGCAGTATCAATATTCGATATCTTTCATGCAGCAAGACATCAGCAAGATGCTAGCTAGCAAAATCTTACGAATCGAATGGAATCGGATCGGATCGGATCGGATCAGCCGTACTGTGGGTTGTTTGGTGGTTTGCTTTTGGTCAGATGATGAGCAACATTTCATGCATCCATTGGATGTAATTTAAGCGATGCTTTGCAATTGATTGGTAGTCTCTTACTAACCGGCCACAGTTAATTTGTTGCTTACCATCCAAATGTAGGCTCGCTTTACCATTGAAAGTCGGGTGGTTGGTGAATGTGGTTGGCGGCAATACTCTAGATCTAGTATGATGTGTCTCAATGGATGCTATCCTAGAGTTTGGCTCAGTTTCATAGAGCACCCAATACTTGCTTCGTGACCAGAGGAGGCAGGCGGGGAGAGTATCAGCCATCCCCAGCCAGCCTATGCGTCCTCTGCCTGCTGAGTACAGAATAGCTAGCTGCTGTTACGTTCTTGCGGCCTGCGTCACCAGCGGTGCACATAGCTACCAACCTCCATCTATCACGCCCCCTACCTAGACCATCCCGGTTTCCCGGTACGGTAGTATCTGGATGCCTCGAGGACGAAACATGCCAGTACCTAGAGCTACAGTACCGGTAGAGTGCCTGCTTGCTGAGCTAAGCTTTGGAACAAGTTTAGACTGGATACTAGTACCGATAGTGACTGTACTGTAGTGAAAGATACACCGGTACCCACACAAGTGTGGTTCTGGTACCGGTACCGGTAACCGTTACCGGTATCAGTACCAGTGTCATTACCCGGTGTCATGATGATTCTCGCGGGACCCATCTTCAGGCTCTCATCAGCGCGGGCGTGTCATAGGTGCTCCGAATCTTTTCTCAGACGTGTTTTTAGTGCACAACCCGCGAGGCCCCCTGCACGCACGGACAAGCAACCAAACTCGACTGAACTGCCCAAAATTAGGCATCATTTAGGAGGAGCCGTTGCTCTTGGTAAAGTACTATAGCCAGGACCGGGTATGAAGAGTTCCTATCGAGACCCTATTTACAAAGATCCAACGTCGCCACAGCCAACAGGAGTCGAGTCTAAAAGCTGAACGTGCTGCGGCAGTAGAAGCCAAGTACAAAACTGTAAAAACGAAGCGAGCGAAGGGACTTAAACCATGTCTCCTCAGTACTATAGTACTTGGGAGGCGAGCCGCTCGAAGAAGATCCAATCATTTTCAGGGGCCCGCATGTACCGGTACAGCGTACAGCTGTACCGTAAAAGTACGTGTACCATGGTACCGGTCATGCTTATGCTATGCGGAGGCTCAAAAAACCGATGTTGAAGGCAGTTGCTTTCATCGAATACTTTTCAACAGGTGCATCCGTCTTATTACTACAGCTCTTGTTACTAAAAATGAAGCACATGGGACATGCGATGCTTTGGGCAAGCCTTCTTCTTGGCCCCATTGATGCTCATCCTCTCCACAATTCATTTCAATGCCACAGCAGCTTCTCTGGAACTACTGACGAAGGATATACTCGCAGAGATTCAACTTGCCGGCATGTGTGCGGTGTAGCAGATTTGGAGTTCACCGAAGACGAGTCGAGCTGCAGTTTTGATGGAAACTATGGAGACTACGGATGTACTCCTCCTGGCCTGATATCGAGTTCCATCTGTCTGAGTCTTGAGACCAGTTGGCCAGAATATAATAGCACAACAGCAGACGACTTTCATGATGGAGTCCGTAACGGACAGCTTGAAAGACTCTTTGACGATAACTATAACACGATCTGTGGTTTGTGTACCAACCTTCCCTCGGTGCAGGAAACTGGTAATCATCAACATGAGGAGGAGGATGACTCGTCCACTAGTTCAGGCACAAGCACGTCAAACTGCTTGAGTCCAGATTCAACGGTGGAGGTTTTGGGCAAGGGTACTACTCGCATGGCCGATTTGAAAGTTGGGGACATCGTGCTTGCACCAAGGGGCAAGCCCGAGACAGTCTATGCCTTTGCTCATCATGCTCCCAATGTCGAGGTAGAGTTTCTCCAGTTGCACACTAACGGCGCTGCGGACCCAATATTGGAAGTCACCAAAGACCATCTTGTGTTTGTGAAGGGCAAAGCCCAGCCCGTTCAAGCTGGACTCGTATCTGTTGGGGATGATCTGTTCTCTCAATCAGAGACCACTCTAACAAAAGTCACAAGAATCACCAAGGTTCAGAAACATGGTGCATACGCCCCGTTGACTCCAGATGGTGTCGTTGTGGTCAATGGGGGGATTCAAGTTTCAAGCTATGCCATTCCCATCTCGGACGATGCTTCTTCGCTAGCATTGCTCAAGTTTCTTGGGGACCGTGGTCTGTCCTCGCACAGGTTGGCACACTTATTCATGGCACCCCTCAGGCTGGTGTGCATGGGAGTGGCCCCCAGCATGTGCCAAAACAGTGTCTTGCTTGACGATGAAACTGGCATGCCCTTGTTTGTTTCCTGGTTGATAGGTTTGGTCAAGCTGGCTGACAAGTATCTTCCGTTGGCGTTACAAGTTGGTCCACTTTGTGGGATGCTTGTGCTATTGTCGCCTATGCTGGTAATGGAAAGCTTCGTTGGCCCTCAACTGGCACCATGGTTTCTGTTTGCAATCGTTACGATTGGACGTGCCTATGCCTCTCAAAATGCGAAAACTAGTGTGGAACCGAAGAAGAAGGAACAGTAGAGATTGGACCACGCAGTTTCGAGATAGCTACGGTTCCGCGTCTGCTCAGCAAGGAAGAGAAGAAGAACAGCCGAGCCATAAGCGCTACGCTTAGGGAGGCAGGCCAATAACACGCCAATGTATAGTAACGATTGGGCTGGAACAAGTCCATCCACAAAGTATTCGACTATCTAAACAATGAATTTCTTCTATCTAAAAGTCAAAACTTTCTGTGTGGATGTTCCCAGCTGGAACTCCCATTGCCACGAGATGCTCTGTCATATCCGACATGAAGGATTCAGGACCACAAATGTAGGCTTCCTGGAATCCCATGGTGGCTTCTGGAAGGAGTTTGCCAAGCCGTTCTCGTGTCAGACGACCCTCTTTGCTTGAGATGACATTGGTGTAGGAAAAGCTGGGATAGTTCCTGGCCCGACGATTCAATTCGCCTTGGCTGACCAAGTCCGCTTCATTCCGTTCCACGTGAATCATGGTGATGCTGGTATCATCCTGCAGCTCAAAGGCTCCTACACCCCTTACCATGGCCAGGTTGGGTGTGATGCCGATCCCTGCACTCATAAGTAAAAGATGCTTGGGAATGACAGGCTTTTGTGTTTGACTATCAAAGGTGACTGCCGTCATGTCGCCCTGCATTCCATTCAACTTGACCTGCAATCCTACCTCGGCATGATCATGAAGCCAGTTTGTCACCAATCCATTGCGCTTGACCGTGATATCCAACGTGTTGTCGCCTTTGATGCTGTTGGGAGTCTCGGACAGAGTCCACGTCCGAACCTCCGAGGCACTTCCACCCGGGACCTTGTCAAACTCAAAGGTGGCGTATTGACCGGGCAAGAATACAATGTTTCGCTGTGCCACCCATCGAAAGGTCTTGACATTCCGCGATTCTGATACGATCTTGGCCAATGTCACAATGCTGCTGTTGGTGTTGTCATCACCAGCATTGTTATCACTTCCAGAAATGGCAGGGTTGTAGGGCGAATAGTCCAGCAACTTCCATCGATGATTGGTGGCATAATCGGTGCGAACGAGGCGTTCAATTTGAAACTTCATGAGACGAGTGGCTCCTTCATAATTATTGGCAGCATTATTATGATGCCAACCCACCGTGGCCCGACCCGTCATTTGGATCATGCTGCCCGTTTCAAAGTCCACCAATGTAACCCCCGCTCGGTCGTTGACTTCCAAGTTGCCAGAAGTGTAGAACATGCCGTTTCCACGGTACTCGGGCCATTCGATAGTATTGTTCGACGCCACGCGGATGAATCCTGGTCTGCCACCACGGTGGTTGGCATCGGCACCCACATTGGGAGCATAACTGCCAATCCATAGGGTATCCATGGACTGGACAAACTCACGGTCTGAGGGAGTCAGTTCCACTCGTTCTTGGCGGACGGCAGCATCATTGATGGGAGTATCCGATGGGATAATCTGCCGTCGGTTAATGTACTTGGGACAGTTGGGTGAGTACTCCTTGACTTGAAAGTGTAGATCAACATTGTCAGTGCTAGAGACGGAAGCTCCGTTTATTCGATGACGAATTCTCTTGACGAGGTCAATACCCAACATGGAAAGGGGGGTATTGTTGTTATCTGGTGATGCAAGGACAGAGTGGAGAATGTCATTCTTGGGGATGCTGTTGGGTGAAATGACAATCTCACTCTCGGATACTGCCGTGATGTCACCAGCTTTGCCAAAGAGTGGTGTCACCCATACATGTCCGCCATTTTGGACGATCGATACTACCGCAAAGGATTGAGCCGCCAAAAAGGCATCATGGTTCTTGGAGAAGTTCAGAGCACCGGTTTTACCGGGCAAAAGTTCGGCCGCGACTCCTCGAGTGCCAGCCTTTTCTTGGGCTGACAACTCGCCAGCATGGAATGAAGCTGTAAAGGGTGCCATTGTGAATCAAAGAGATCTGTTGAAAGTGTTGGTTTATTGTTGGATGTTGGTTTGTTGTCGGATTTGTGAGAGCAAGAGAAAAGCGGAGTGAAGGAAGAAAGAACTTGAGAAGTCTTGAAAGTTGTGAGCAAGCGTAAACCGCTTGGGCGGCTTGGGCAAAGATCTCAAGCATTCTATTAATAGCTAGTCCGAAGAACCATTGCGATCAGTTCCAAGCCTTTTTTCAAGTGTCTCGCTTCGGACGTTTGATCAAAGACTTATTAAACTGCGTCAGAATTGTGACATCGAATCATGGATACAGTACAGTATGCTTGATCAGCTGAGCAGCACATTCGTCACCACAAAACTTACTCTAACATCACGTCAACAATCTCCAATCTTCATTGAATGGCTTCATTTTTGTTCCATCTTCCTGTGTTATATTGCAATACCTGTGTTTTACTCATGTCGGTGAAGCCGATCATTTTGCTCAAGCTCAAAGAAGACAAAAGAACCCGCCTCTTCAGTTAGTCAGGTCGAAACGATGGTCTTGGATATGAAATCATCGCATGGCGCCGTGATCGGCTTTGGTTTGTGGACGGCCGGCCATATTGCAACCATTCTTGGTCACCACACCGTTTTGATCAACACGGGCAAAGCTTCTCCCAATGGTTTTGGCCCTAGTCGAGCCGACAGTCCCGATAGGTTCATTGGTCGTGTGGGTCGATCACATGCCAACTGTACAGAAAACTTTCCCTTGTTCCTGGCCACCGTGGTGCTCAACACAATCACAGGTGGCCCTGACATTGCCTCTCTATCATGGTACTATGTGTATGCCAGGATGGGCCAAAGTATCAGTCACTGCCTTGGTGAAACGGACCTCAATACGACCATTCGATTCCTGTGCTTTGGAACACAATTTGGGTTGCTTGGTAAGATGCTCTAGAAGACCATCAAAGAGTAGGAAAGAAGAAGGATGTTATGCTACGATAATCTAACATCTAGCTATAAGAAATAATTGCGCCAAAGCTATGTAGTAAGTACAGTAGTTATATTATGTTCATCGTACATGTGCATTATGCCGCACAACACGTCAATGGAAGGTGGGAAGAAGGGAGATGAGCTGGGCAGTACCAGTAGCTTCAGCTGACCATGTGTCATGCCGTACCCTTTCTGGCGACAGGTACATGCTGAAGTAGATGTACCCACCCCACCACAGACTACGATACTCCACAGCCTCACATACCGGTACCTCTGTGCAGCAACGGGATCGAGTAGTCCATGGACACGACCAGGAAGGCCGAAAGCGATGCTTGAAGTGGCAACTTCCTTGGATGCGTTGTAAATAATCAAATGCCGCCAACACGGGGAAGTTCTTAGTTCATTTTTAAAATACCGTATTCAACTCGATGAAGTGGAGGAACCAATGGTGGAACCAGCCAGCGGCCGAGGCGCCTGCCTTCCGGTCTGGAGATGGCAGAACCGCGTGGAAAGAGACGACAATTCACAACAATGGGGAGCATTTCGATAAGTGACAGTGCAACCGTGTCGGTCAACAAGGTGCAAGGCAGCTATTGTTGCTGCTCAGAAAATTGCAGAGCACCCAGACGACGAGGGCGATGACACGACGAGGACGAGCAGTGGCCACAACACAACGACGAGGTACACTGTAGCTTTGCATCTTTTGGCATGGAGATTTTCTCAATCAACAGTTGAATCTCTGCTGCCTGCTCTGCAGGATATTCTTCGCAATGACCTGAATCATTCCTTTCATTCGACGAGGCGTTTCCTGCAATGTTGGCGTATGGCGGAGCTAGCTCTTACTCTTGCAATTGTACTACATATCTATTAGGGCTCTTCGGCTGCACGAGATTTGGCTGGAAACAATACAGAGTTACGGGAACATGCGATTCTCAATGAGCGGAGCCTATCAGTCACTTCCTCGTCATACTCTTTGTCTTCTTTATCTTTTCCCGACTGGGGTTCTGCTGCAGACCTTAGCTTCTTCACAGCTCGTTTGTTGGCAACACCAAGACTAATTGGAAAATAGAATAGTTACGATGGTGGTCGAGGAGTAAGGGAGGACTATTGTGCCGATGGTGTGATGTTTGAATCTGCCGGTACCAGTACGCTGTACCGGTGGTACGGTATCACAAACGGTACCTGGTAGCCCCGCTCCGCAGCAGCATCGAACACGGCATCAAACACCACCTAAAAGAGCAACCAATCAGCCAACAACACAAAACCAAGCACATCAAGACTGCTCTGAGAGGTTCAGGAAGTGTGTTGTTTGGTAATAGAGCATGAAATCAGTGCTCATCAATGGCTCAGTCTCGTCTCGTCACATGTCATTTTCCATCTGGCAGAATCCGTCATCCCAACATCTGGCAGAATCTGTCAGGTGAAAAATGGGATGTCACCATGATGAGCTCACTTTTTTGTTCAACCGGATTGCTAGAGTTGCATACCCAACCGAACAAGGAAGACTTTCGCGATTGTTGATAAGCATAGGCCAGATCAACCCCCCTCCTTTCAATTACCTTTTCTACCAATCTTCTATTCAATACCTATCAATTGCAAAATGAAGTTCTCTTCTTCTATCATCAAGCTGCTCTCGTGGTCATGGACCACTGACAACAACAACAACAACAGCAACACCAAGAAGACCCCCGTTCTCCAGGTCGCCAAGGAGATGACGGGCAACAACAACAATGACGACAACAAGGATGTTCCTGTGGCAGAGGAAGTCCCAACATTCCAACTGGACGAGTTGGACAAGTCGGTCGTCGAAACAGCGGCACTGTTGCACAACTATGGAACGAATCCTGATGTGGAGTTCCAGCAGCACGGTCGCTACCTAGGTGCCTACGACCTTTCCCTGGTTCCTTCGGATCAGCATGGTCACTACGGATACAACAAATACAACCAGCACCAGCCCAAGGGCTGTCGCATCAAACCCAGTCAATCAGCCAACACTCGCTGGAAGGCCCATTACGGTCAAGACACCGAACGGAGCAATGGAAACCGTTTATCCTTTGCTCCCGTCAACACTGTAGTGGGGTACTCTTCTGGCGAGGGCGAACAAGAAGAAAACAGCCGTGTCTATTGAGACATGAACAAACAAGTGCCACAGGCCCGACACGAATTCTGGCATGAAGCCCAACAACAATTCATTTCCGTCGGCACACCCACACCCCACGAACGTGTCTTGGATCTCGTGCAGTTGATTCAAGAGTACGGATACCAACAAATGGCCAAATGGATCACCAACAACCAATGGTTCCAAAGCGACAAAGCGAATCTAAAACAAGCCAAATTGTACATTCAAATTGATGCCGTGCATCAAGACCTCGAGGGACTTGTCAAATTCATCCAGGCAAAGAGAGGAAATGACAAGCAAGTCGCCCACTGGTTCATGGTCAACGAAAAGAACACTTACATGTTCGAACTCGCCATGTGCCACTTGCACCATGGAGGAATTCAGCGCAACGCTGACGACGAAATTTGCACCTTGAATACGCGAGAACAGATTGCCAATCGACGATTTGTCTATCGCAAGGTCAAGGACGTCTGCATGGAAGATGCAGCACCCGTAGTAGTAGAACAACAACCAACAACAATCACATGCGAAGCAGCGGTGGTTCCCACATGCACAGCAGTGGTCCCATACATTCAAAAGTGGCATGTGAAACACTTCGAGATCAGTGTGCATGGACAACAACCATTTGTATTGGAGATGCGAATGATGAATGGTGTGCTACTTGGAGTGGTACCCAACGACATTCTCGCAGCCTTGATGAAGGATGGTGAAGACCTTGTCAAGGAATTGATGCGGCGGCACAAGACACTACAATTGGAGGCAGGCGTTGCCTCGGACGATATGGATTTCGAATTCGTGACTGGCCAAGTGGTAGCTGAAGAACCTCTGGTTGAGGTCGAGGAACAACAACAAGTTGATGCTGAAGAACCACAGGTCGACAACTGAGTCGATGAGGAGGAAAATGTGGACACAGCACGATCAACTTTGCGACGATCAAAGAGACGCATGGCGGCAATTGCATCTCAAAGAATCACAGAACAAATGAAGACAAAGCCACGGCGGGTGGCAGTTGAACAACCTAGAATTAAACGTAGACGGGTGGCGGCCACCAAGAAAAAGTCGACAAAGCAAAAGGCGAAGGGCAAGAAGAAGAAAACTACACAATCTGTGACGGACACACAGCAGCAAACAACAGTTCAGACAACAACTCTTTCTGGACGGCAAGTCAGAAAGCCTGACCGGTACATTCCAGTCTAGGACAACAGGTAAGTAAGGGGCGGTGG